TATATAGTATTTCTACAAAGCATTCCACAGCATATATGAAGAGGTGATACTACACATCTAACGAATTTCAACATTTTATAGCCTATGTATTTTCCTCCGCCATGAAAGAAACAGAAAATAAAGCCACCAACAAAAACGTTTAATGCAACAAGTTTGTAAAGGCTGTGTACCTTCACAATTTGAATGAAACCTTCATAGCAAACACCAGAAAATAATAAAATGTGTATTTTAAGAAGCGTCAAGGTCCGACCCATTTCATTTGGAATATATATGCACTCTGTAGTTTGCAGGCTAACAGAAGCATGGAATTCCTGTGAAAATAATTGCTGTCTGGGGAGGGGAGAAGCTGAGGGGGTTGGATTGTTGTTAGGGTGCTGAAAGGTGGTACGTGGCCGTGAGTCCCTCTGCAGCCTGCTCTTGGCAAATCCATCAAAGGCTCGTGTGTGCTGAGACAACGCCGGAGCTGGAACTGTGCTGGGCTGTATTGCGCTGAAGGACTACGGGAGGATTCTGTCAGCATTTCCTGTAGGCAAGAAGGCACTTCCAAAGCACTGAAGGAATCGCTGATATTGTCAATTCAGAGGCAACAGACTGACTTTGGAGAAGGGGCATTCTGAACCATTCTTCAGGAAACACAAGCTGAGGAGAAGTGGATGATGGAGCGGTTCAGGGACTGCAGCAGTTGGAGCCCTAAAGCAGGTAAGAAAGGAACAGGTGGCTTCTCCTGTTGTTACCTGTTTCTGTGTTTGTCCTTCATCTCCAAGCTTCTGACGTTCATGGGCTGCCACCATCTGTACCTCACTGTTTGTGTTTGCATTGTACCTTTCTTCCAGTGCTGCTCTCACCCTGCTCGTGTGTTCTCCCCTCCTGCTTGGTGTCTGGATTAGGTGCTGGGAGATAGAGGATTCCTTCTGTAATTCCCTTTAGTTCATCACTGCTTGTATATTGTCAAGCCCACTGGGACTCAGGTTCTGTTTAGAAGCACCCAGACCTTAGCAATATCTCAGTGATTATAGTTAGGGTGTAGGCTTCATTTAATCTGCTATAAAAAACGCCTGCTGAATCATCATTGAAAAGAAGTGATCAATATGATTAATTCCCTGAACTTCACACTGCATCTTTAATGCCATTACTTGGAATTTAGAGCTATGCTCATCAGCCCTTTGTATCAGATAGATTTATGCCCATACTGGTGTATAATAATTTCACTTAACATAAAACTATAATTTGCAGCCACTGAATGCAGCTCTGTTCATTCTGTTGTCCATCTGAATTTTGCTGTTGCCAGAGAAAGATTGTACTTAAAGTTTGAAACTCCCTTCCTTTTGCTTTTCCAGTCTGGCACCCCGTGCTGGAGCTCTGCTTGGGACAGGAACCAGGGGTTTATGATGTAGTGATGGTCCTTCACTGTTGAAGGGAGAACAATGGAGAAAACTGGAAGAGCATATCTAAAATTATTCCAAATTTCAGGCAGGCCGGCAGTCTTAGTGTCTACATTTTTCATTTATTCTTGCTTTAATGCTAATACAAGAGTAAATTCCAGCATAGCCGAGATGATGGGGAGTGCTCTTATTCACCTCTGGGGTTTTAATCTTACAGTGCATTTTAAAACTGAATAAAGTTCAGCAACTCAGCATTAAATGAGCCATTCAGAATTATTAGCTGTTTTTCATGCTGCATATTTTCAAGCAGGTCATACTGCTCCTCAGCCTGGGTATCAGGTTACTAGCTTTCAGATGAGCCTGGAACTGTTCTGATCTGGTTAAAAAAAAAAAAAAAAAAAAAAAAAAAAAAAGTTTGTTCTTTAGCATGAATATCTTGGTCCTTTCAAGAGATAAGTATAAAATTCTGGGTAATAACTGCTTCCCCAATAGGAGAAACCAGACAGTATTACACACCTTGTCAAAAGCCTGAAATTGGTTTTCATACTAGTTTTCCCAATGACTGTATATAAGTTAAAAATCACCCAAAACTGAATGAATGTCTCAGTTTTTCTCCCAGTGCTTTTCTTGGTAGCTATGTCTCAGTAGAGACATCATTGATACGACATTTAAGAAAATGTGTCATGAATGCGAAGGTGTTCAACAATGACAAAGCCATTCCTACATAAAAGAGGAGAAAGGATAATAAAATTAAATATCTACTAATCCCTCACAGGATGCTCAGAAACAGCACAAGGAAAGTGCAGTTGTGTCCTTCCGTGAGACGAGGAAGGTTTGAGTCATGGCTGAGTGGAGCACTCTGAGGTCTCGGAGCTGTTCGCAACTTCAAAATAAATAGTAATTGTTGGTGTGTGACATCATGCCTCCAAGGTACAGCGGTGCCAGGGGTGCTCGTTAAATGAGAGTGGGATGGATTGCATTTCATCCTGACGTGGTGTTCGGACGCAGGAAACAAGCTTTTAAATTACTGCCGTATCCCTGTGCAGCGTGTACTGCTGGTTCAGAACACAGGGGACGTCCAGGTGCTTCACATATTTCTTTGTTCTGCTGAAACGATGGCTCTGCAGGCAAAGGGTTTCTGAATGCTTTCTCTTGCTGCCTGCTTTGAACATTACAAGGGCAGTGTCCTGTGTTTTCATTTTTCTTTCCTTGTTTAACATCTTTAAGAATCTCCTCCCACACTTCCCAAACAAACCTCAGCAAATTTAGCTTTGCTAACCATGCCTGGTTATGTATTAGAATCCTCTATAACGAGGAAGGCAACTGAATTTAAAAGGCTTTTAAAGGATTCAGAGCTACTAAGCAAAATGGCCTTGAGGCTTCTAAATGCCTTTCAGCTCCCGGAACTTCAAGCCAGCCTCTGGTCTAACAGTGTTTCTCAGGTCAGGGAAAGGATTCTCATCTTCCTGTATACTACTTTTTCCCTTTCAGAACAATAAGGTCTCCTTTTTTCTGACTGAAGTTAAAGTGAGCCTGGAAAAACACCCCATAATGGCTGGAAGCCTTATGCTGATATCCACAGTGAGGAGAAAGCAAGCATAGTTATGTGACACAGGCTGTGAGCAGTGCGTTGCTGCTGCCTGCGGGGTGTACATGTATGCAAGGTCTTTTATATTGTTCTCCTACATGCAAACTGGAGTTCAGGAGTGTTTGCATGCACCTCTGCCTGCGAGGCTGTAGTAGCAAATGCAAGTGGCCATGGACACTTGTTCAAGTCTGAATCAACTCCTTTCTTGGGTTGCTTGCTCCCCCCCTCGAGTGGCAAGAGTCATTACTGGAGCTAAAACTCATCTTAGTTCAGATTGTGGTAATTAACAGAAGTTATCTCATCCTTTAATCACATACACATCCCCTGAGGTTGAACAGCACACCAATGTTCAGTCTTAGAAAGAAGTGAAGAGGGTGACTGCCTGCGCTTGGAATGAAAGGAGGAAGTTAGCCACTGTGCAATCATTGAAATGAGAAGTTGGTCCTGTGTCTTTAATATTGCAAAGTAGTCTCTGATATCAGTCCTTCCTTAGCTCTCATTCCATTAGCTCAGAGCTCACCCTGAGGGTGCTGAGTGCCAAGTTCAGTGTGCAGCACAGCTTGTAACCAAGCAGAACAATGTTATCCTGGTGATCCTGCAGATCTTCAGAGGAGGCTGTGTGTGTGTGTCAGGTCTTCAGCTGGAAGATGAAATGGAATATGTGGAATATGCTTGACAAGCTTCTCTTGGTGTCTGTAGTATGAAACATGCAGGGAGTATTGCTTTTCCACCAGGAACTGTCCCTTAATGCCTACCTTTTTTTTTTTTTTTTTTTTTTTCTTTTTTCTACTAATATTTTTTCTTCAGGTTTTTTTTTCTTTATAGGAAAATTCCTTTTTCCTGGCCTAGACCTGGCAGCTGCCAGGCTGCTGTGAGGGCATGGGCTTGAACTGTACCAATTTTTCAAAAAAAGAAGAGGAAATTGAAGAGCAGATGATTTCATAGTAGTTAGCCACTGATGCTTTATAGAGCTGCAGGTCAGAGCTCCTGGGAAGGCAGAAACACATCCCTCACTCTTTCCTCTGAATTTCAGTGAGGCTCACATTGAGCACAGTGCCAATACCATGCACAAAGAGTCCTGTCTCCGGCGCTGGGTGGTGCCAACCATTTCAGACACTGCTTCCCATAAGTAAGGCTGCAATGATACAGCATCAGAGTAGGTGCTAGGAGACAGGCAAAGTGCCCAGCCAACACGGAGAGCCAGGGCCTGGACAGGGAACGGCATGCGTCACATCAGTCACAGCTTTTGGGGGGGTTGTGGAGAGAGGATCCAATGAATAGACAGTTTTCAGGACATCATCAAAGCAGAGTGAAACTCTTCTTATCACCTAACCAAGCCCCAGAGCTGATTGAGCAGCCCCTAAAATCCATGCTGGCAGGCTTTGTGCAAATATGCTGTCCTGCCATAACAAACTGCTGAAAGCCAAGGGCAGAAAGCTAAGTTTTTTTCTCTCTATCAAGCTAGGAACCTAAGAAAAAAAACAAAAAACAAACAAACAAAAAAAAAAAAACCCAAACAAACAAACAAAAAAAACCCAACAACAACAAAAAAACTTTTCTTTTAAAATAAGCTGTTTTAAATAAACGAGCATTTTTTGAACCGCAGGAGAGCACACACCTAACATTTGTTAAGTGAATAGCAGCAACACGTTTAAGTCTAGCTCAGTACTGCAAAGCGGTTTTTGTGCTGCTTTTGCTGTAACGTTTCTAGAACACGAGCTGCAAAGGGCGGCTTCCTTTCATTTCCAGTCAGCATCACAGAGAAAACTTCACCGTACGCTAACGTCCACAGCACCCCTGCGGCCCAACCCCAACTCAACGCCCCGCCCGCCATCACGCATGCGCCCCGGGTCGGCGATGACGCCACGTTTATTCGGTGCCTGAAGGCACCGCCCTCGCCGTGCCCGGAAGCGCCGTGCAGCCCTCAGGAAATGGCGGCGCTGCGGAGCGGGCGCGTGACGCGGTGTGTCATGGCGGCGCGGCCGTGAGCGGCGATTCTTGCTGCTGGAAACGTAAGTGAAAGCTGCGCAGGGGGGGTTGAGCAAGGGGGAGCGGGGTAGGGAGCCTCCTCCCAAGCCCTGTGGCCAGGCCCCGGCGAGAGAACAGCCAGCCCCCGGGTGCCGCAGCGCTTCTCCCGGCGTTGTCCCGGAGGACTAAGAAAGTGGAGACGGTGCCCTCGTGCCGACCCCGCTGATACTATCCTCCAAAATGAAACGGTGGGAGAACAAGGCCTGCCCGCGAGGTAAGGGCAGGGCCTGCTTCCTCCACCTACAAGGCTCTGGCGGTAAGCAGAGGGAACGAGCTGGCGGGGTGGGGGGGGGGGTCGGAACAAAAACGTCCAGAGCCGCCGTGGCCGCTCCTGTGATGCCGCTTCAGCCGTGTGCGTTTGCCCCTTTGTTCCCGGCTCCAGGACGGACCGAGGAAGGACGGGACGCGGTACCCAGCTGGGCGGCTCCGAGGTCGGCTCCGCTCGGCTGGGGCGAACCTGCGGGCAGCCGTGCCCCGTAGGCGTGATGCCCTCCAGTGGCAGCCGTGTGTGCTGGCGTGCTGAACCGAGGGGAGTGGGAGGAGTGCTCCGAAGTGCTTCGTGTCTCTGGATGCAAAGGTACCCCGGATTTTAAGATGTTCCTCTTCACAGGAGAGGAAACGCTGTTGTTTTCAGCATGAGGCTGAGACTCCTGACTGGATTTAAATCCTTCTTGTGCTACAGTGCCTGGATTACCTTGTCTGTCCTGCTTGTGTGTTACTGCAGGATGTGAGAGAACAAGGGGCCTTGAAAGAATCCCAGCAGTGCCTAAAAGCAGTCCAGACAACAAATCAAATCAGTAGCAGAACTGCGCTATTGACTTAGGCCTCTGGCTGAGACAGAAATAACAGCTCTGAGGGAGAACGACTCCAGCCAGCTCTGTGCTTTCAGGAGATGCTGGCAGCTTGCAGCAGAGTTTCAGATCCTGCTTCTTTGTCCTCTCTTCGGACAGCACTGTGGTTTTAATGGATGTTTTTTCTGTTTTGTTCTCTGTTCTGTACAGAGACACACCACAAGCCAAATATGATTCTTGCTAGGTACATAAGGCTAGTTCAGCATTGCCTTCTGGCCTTTTTGTCCATGATAAAAGGGATTAAGTATAACTTGTAAACCTGGGAGTCTGTAGATGGCCCTGGCAAGGTCCCAGTTAGCTGCTGGGTGAGGTGTGGTTGGTATTCTGTCCTTTGGCTGTTCCTGCTGCTCTTGCGGCCTCTGCAGGGATGAATAGATCGCTGCTACAGGTTGGGGCAGCCTGTGGTATTTGAGCAGCCAGTGCCAGAGCTTTAGGCATGAGCCTCCATGTTTCACCGAAGATGAATTTTTTCTCTGCCAGCAAATACATGTAATCAAAGGAACAGAAAGAAAAACGCCAACAGCTACAGGAAAAAACATGTCCTACAGCACATGACTAATTGTCAGAGAGCGACTCGTTCTTAATGGGCGTTTGTTGTTTCATGTGGTCTAGTTCAGCAGAGAGCCAGAGTTTCAGAAGATAAGCTCTCCAGGGCAGTGGTCACGGCTGTAGTTCATCAAGCTAGCTGCTGGAGTTCAAGAAGTGTTTGGACATTGCTTTCAAGTGTGGGGCTTGAATTCTGAATGGTTCTGCGTGGAGCCAGGAGTTGGACTTGATGATCCTTGTGGGCCTCTTTCAACTCAGGATATTCTGTGATTCTGTAATTGCAGTTTGGGTGCCTTACTGATCTGATCAGTAGACCCTGTAATGGAAATGGTGGCCTCCTTGTAAAGGATGTATATAATGGCAATTTATAGTAACAGCTGGTTTTAAAGAATTATTCAGTCCTTTTTCTTTGCTGTGTAAATATTTAAGTGACAAGGTTGAGGTTCCTAGGAGAGTAAATGCTTGGGTTGCAGCTGACAGGTGAAGCTTTTATTAAACAAACATGCAAACTTTTTTTTTTTTTAGCTTGGCACCTGATGATTGCTTATTTGTTCTTTTTTCAGATATTTCTGTTGCTGCCTTAGCAGTCTCATATGCCATCCCTGGTGATGACCACTGAGTCCTGCTCTGAAAAGCTGGCTGCTCCTGTGATCTGCAGATTCACTGAGCCAGCAACATAGGGGCAGAGCTGTTTGTTACCCTTAGAGACTCAGTTGCACAGTGTGCAAGTACCTCATAGCTGGCTCAGCAAATCAGTCCTTGCAGCGCACCTGTGAGATGGTTGTCTGGGTTAATGTAACATCAGAGATGAGCAGCTCATTCTGGAGCCAGAATACAGGTACAGTTTAAACACCTGAGATGAAAGCTGTGGGTGGAGAGTGATGTTGTGGGGCCATTCAGAGGGCCAACACAATGTAGGCTTTCATCAGAATGGCTTCATTGACCTGGCAGTCTTTGTGTACTAAAGGCGTCCTTGAGGACTGTCAGTCCTGTTCTCCTGATACCTCTGCTCTGATACTTGTGTGTTGTTGTTTTATTTTTGCAGGTCTTTCTCTCATTGTAAAGAGCATGGCGTTCAGTTTTGGCAGATAAAGGTTAAATATGCTCCACTGTTTGGAAGCTGGACCTTAAATCAAGGCGTACGTTTTTAATTGAAGGGAGAAAAAGGTGTTAAAACAACCCAGTGGTGTGGTGCTTTCTGACCACTTTGTTCACTGTACACTTCAGCTGCTATTCTCTGGTACAGCCTTTCAGTATGTTAGCATTGCTCACCTGGCCACCTTGTGCCCTATGTATTAACAGTGATTGCAGGCTTAGTCACCTAGTTTGTAGGAGACACAAGTTGTGCTCATTGCAAGGCACTGAAATTGACCTGCCTCATAGGAGGTTGGACAAGATAGTCATAACAGCACTTTTCTGTCTTGGAAGTCTGTGAATTCTTGGTGGGCTACAAATGAAGCTATATTTGCATAGTTCAGTGGTGCTAAACTCGTTTAGTTTTCCAAGCTGCAAGTCAGTATTCAAGTGAAGAAGGTACTAATCACTGCTGTAAGAGCATATTCCACTCCTGTTTTCATGGTTTCTTCAAAACTTATTTTGGGGAAATGCATTTCTTCTCTTAATTTCTCAGCTATTTGGAGAAAAACAGACAAGCTTTTGGCACACAGTTCTACATCAAATCTAAATTTTGCCAAGCTTTATTTATAAGAACCATGTCTACTGTAGAGACAATCTGTTCCTGACAAACCCCTAGAATAGAAAATTTCAACCAATTATTTTTGTAATGAATGTACAATAAATCTGTTGAAAAGCTATCTGTTAATGACTCTTGCTTAAATACTGGTCATTTTGACACCCACAAGTGAGGCTATTGAGAGCTAGACAAACCTGCTTGACAGGTAGTACCAGTCCAACTGTCTGGAATCTGGACATAAGGTCTAAACAAGGATGTTCTGGTTGAGCACAGGGCCAGCACTGCTACTGTCAGCATACAATGGTGGCCTGAAGCTTCAGGGGCACAGCATCAGAGATTAAAAGCTCTTGGTGCTGAGGAGTGGGGGAAGAATTTGTGAGTGGAGAACATAGCAAGGCAGAGGAGAGGATGGCCACCAAAAAAAAAAGTAAGAAAGGATGATTTAGACTTTGTGTATGGGCAGCTAAGCACTGCAAAAGGCACCCATGTGCTTTCGGTTTTTTGCTTTTTCCCCTAGATAAATAAATGAGAAGCATGGGCATTGGGCAAGGATGTTTTTTTGTTTGTTTTCATGTTTGAGACTTTATGGCATGCTTGATTATTTCAGTAAGCATCATTGTTTCAATCTTCCTGCTGTTTATGGTATGTGCTAACAGTTCACACGCAGGGGAGGTGCAGTTGATTATCTTGTGCAGACTGTGTACCAACAAGAATACTTGATTGTAAGATCAGCTTCATGGCTAGAGTGTTTTCAGTTTTGTCTAGCATCTGTATAGTGATTGTGCCTTTTGCTATTTTGGCTTTTTGTTGAATTTTTTGCTTCTCAGAAGACACGAGTGTAGTTAATGATTGCTGTGGAACAGGGAGTTCCCTAAATATAAAATGGGTATTGGGAGAACCAGTAATGCATTGTCACTGCTGCTTGGTGTTACTTGTGGGAAGGATGGTATCTGCTTCTAACCCTGAAGAATTCTGCAAATAGCTCCAGGGTGCTGATGAGTCTTGCGACCGTAATGTTTTTCTTCTAAAATGCTGCCTAAGATAAGATAAAATTGTCCAAGGGCCTAGGCCTGGCAGATTGTTTGGGTCAGGGATGCTTTGCTGTCTTGGGATAGAGCTGGATTTTAGGGAGTGTGATGGGACAATGCTGAAAGAGAGAACTTCTCAGTGTGTGTTATAATGTGGATAGGACTGTTGAAGAACACAGTCTTATAGGAGGGCAGTCCATGGAGGTACTGTAATACCAGTATGTACCTTTAGGGTACCAGGTGTTTCCAAAGCAAAGCAGGGATGGACATAATGCTGAAAATGTGAGTTGAATGTGTAAAGGTGCTGGGCAATATCAGCATTGTAAAATGACAGTCTGTAGCTTTCATAGTCCAGCAGGATACCAATCTTTGTGGGGGGAACAGTAATTCTGATGTCTGGTGTCATCCCACTGTGCAGGAATTCGTACTTGTGCCTGTGGGCAAGAAACACAGTCAAAAATACCTCATGCACTCTGTGCACAGGCATGTTTCAGGGTCTGTTTTCTTGTTTTGCATGCATGGTGAAGGCAGTCCTATCCTTTCCACGTATCGCATCTTTATGCCCCATTCCCATCCACTCTGCTGAGAACGCTGTTCACTGCTTTTCCACACAGCCTTATCCCCTTGCTCAGATGTGCCTGCCTCACCCACATAACAGGCCTTCGTATCCACACCTGGCTGAAACTGAGCAGGTACTGTCACTTAGGACAGGACAAGGTCAAAGGACTTTCCATTTTTCCCAGCTACTGAGCTTTATCTGAAGATGTCCTTTCCTCTGCGAAGAAGCTGTGCTCTGCCAGGCCAGTTAGGCCTTCCCCAAAGCAATACTTGTCTTCTCTTAAGTCTTGCAGCTTCATAGTTTTAGGTGCAGCCAAGGAGAGAATTGATGAGATGACTCAGTCCTGTCCTTCCAGGCCCTGAAGTGCCGCCCACTTACTCTCTAGGGCCTGTGGTACTGAGGCCTCTTTCCTGCCAAAGACACAGGAACTGGAAATGCTTACGCCCTCGGACTGCAGCAGCAGTGAGGGAATATAATCCCTCAGGCAGAGGCTGGCTGACTCAGTGTGACTCTGCATCCTCCAGGCTATTTGATGTCATATTTCAAACCCTGTTTTCTAAATGACTGGCTGCTTTTCCTACAATACTTCACGTTGCTCAGCCAGGGTGGTGCTGATAGGGACTTTCCAATCTTCAGTTACTGGAAGGTGACCTCTAATCATGATTCCTGTCCTTTGTACTAATGGAGGCTAGGAGGATGCTCTGTACATAACTGCTTTGTCATGAGGATAGCCCTTTTCTTCCCCATGTAGTCACTGAGTAATGCCAGGATCCTTTAACAGTTACTCAATCAGCTGTCCCTAGTGTTGTATGCTGCACCCAAAAATATGAGTCTTTTATGGGAACATGTACTGTTCTGGGAGAAACGAGAAGATTTATTCAGTAAAGCAAGTTTTCTGGTATTTCACAGGGACTGGCTTCTTCACTAACCACCTCTTCCACCCACACAGCACAAACCTTAGAAAATTTCCCTGCAGAAATGCGTATGACAGTGACTCAAACAGAGCAACAGCCTGGCCCTGTTTTCTCCTCCCTGAAGTCCATGCTTATTGCTCCACAAGAGTAAGAGCAAACCTCAGTGTACCTCTTAGATCATTGTAGCAAAGAAATCAAATTAGCCTTCCTGCAGTGTATGGGAGAGTCATTAACTTCAGTGGGTTTGGTCTCCCTCATTAAGCAGCGTTTCTTGCTGTGTGGGAGGCAAATGTCAGCGTTGCTAAGAACTTTGGTTATGCAGCAGGCCAATGGCTGGGGAGCTGTGAGCAGCAGGCATCTGGGAATGTGTGCTCTAGACAACTGAGCTACATCTAAAACACTCCCTACATACCAACAGACAGAAGACTGGAAGCACTGGTACCATGCTGTGTCATCATTACCATCTGCTGATAATGTGTGTGCTGGGGCACTCAGTGCCTTGTTCAAGGGGTCCCAGCACCACACTGGTAACTCTTGCAGTCTGAGTGCTGTTGCAGGCTGAGGCAGTAGAATTACTATGCTGTTTGGTATGGAACTTGTTTTCTTGCTCCTAGGTGCTTCACGGTGTGCCCAAATCACACATACAATTCAAAGGTGATGCTAACTCAGTTGTCATTGCCCAGGGTAGGGCCAGTGGATGCAGCTGAGGCATGAGGGAGTTCTGGCATTTCTGCATGCAGGCATGGCTGTTGGGTTGGGTACCTCCAGAAGGAGGATATGAAAACGTTTCCTACGAATGTTTTTATCCAGGTAAGTACTTTTTAGGTGACATGGACTTACTACTGGTTGTCTTCCCAATGGGATTTCAGTGACCTAACAAGGCTTTTATAGTAACTTCTGTAATGGAATTTATTCAGATTTGTTCCTGGGACTGCTCCTTTCAATGTGAGAATGGTGCAAAGCAGTAGGATTTGCTTAAAGGTTTCAGAATCATTCCAACACTAATTCACAGTGCCAGTGGTAGAAATAATCACAGACCTCAGTTTGAGTGTTTGACCTGCGTTTTGATTTTTGCCTCTCACAGGGAAGAGTTCTTTGCTGCTCAGCCTGCAGGTGTACATGTAGAAGGTATCCTATAGGAGAAATGTAGCCTGCATGTCCCTTACCTTGATGGTGTGATGATGTGTCTCATGCACCAGGAGGAGTTGTTTGCCCCCAGATAACCATGTCTTGGAGTGTTTTCAAAAGCCACGCCAACTCTGTATTCTGTATCTTCCTCAGCTTCCACTTCCCAGTAATGCTTTCCTGGAAAAGGGATCAGACTGCCCAGGATCCCGATACACCTGTGAGAGAGACAGGAATGTGCTCTGGCAGGAACTCTTTGCAGTGCTAGCTATGTAGTGTACCTGGGTGTTGCATATCAATAATGGAAGCCATGTTAATTGTTTCCGTAGCAGCACAGCATGAGTTTTTCATTAAAGTGAAGTTCGCATGCTGAGGACCTGACACACGACCTGCAGGTTTCTTTGTGATTCCTACTCTATTTTACTTTTGGATAGTTTTGTATGAATTAACACCCTGGGCACTTTCAAGAATAGGAGGAATAGAATCCTGTGCTGCCTGAGATTTCTGGGGAAAAGAGTGCTTTGGTGAACCCCAGTGTAGAAGGAGAAAAAAGTGTATGTGCTTTTTTTCTTCCCACAGAATCCAGGACTTAAGTGTCACCTATGTCACCTACCATCAGAAATGAAACACTGTAGCAATTCAGTATTAGACCAGGCTCCCTAGGGCCCCATCCAATCTGGCCTTGAACACCTCCAGGGATGGGGCATCCACAACCTCTCTGGGCAGCTGTTCCAGCAGCTCACCACTCTCTCTGTAAAGAATTTCTCCCTGACATCCAAGCTAAATCTCCTCTCCCTCAACTTTAAACCATTTCCCCTTGTCCTGCAGTTATCAACCCTTTCAAAGAGTTGATTCCCCTCTTCTTTGTAGGCTTCCTTTAGGTATTGAAAGGCTGCAATGAGGTCACCCTGCAGCCTTCTTTTCTCCAGGCTGAACAAGCCCAGCTCCCTCAGCCTTCATAGGGGAGGTGCTTCAGTCCCCTGATCATCTTTCTAAACACCCTATCTCAATGTAAGAGGGCAACTTGAATCCTATAAGACTACATCCCAGTTCTGCTTTAGGAAAATTACACAGGGTATTTGTATTAACCGTCATTGATGCATCACACGGCATGGCAGGTTTCAAAACACTGCTAAAGTTTTGGATGCAGAGTCGCAGCCTGTACATTTTTGTGGTAGGATCATGTAGGGATGTAAATTAAAAAGACAAAGGTTGTTGCTGGAACACTCTGAGCTCATCTGCCTGCAAGTGGTACTGAATTCAGCATGATGAGGATGGGAACAGCAAGTGCAGACTGTACTTTGTGCCACCTCAGCAGCAATCACGTAACTAAGGGTACAGTTCACTAGAAGTGCATGTAGATGTAGTGGGAATAGATTAAAAGTTGATGAAATTGAAACTCAGAGAAGCTATGCTGCTACAGCTTGAAAGGAACGATGCAAAATGGATGACAAACATCTGTGAACAAGACATTACCATACTAATGAGAGTTGCA